TAAGATTGTAGTCTTGCTTAGTCATCTACTGCAAACTATTCTCTTTCTAGCTACTCACCGACTTAACATCACAAGAGAGTTTTTATTAAAGAGAACATACCAATATTTATTTAACTATAATTGTGATTTTAGTCAGTTTCTTGGACCATAGATGTTTACATCTATGCTTGGACACTGCACTAAAAAAAATAAGGATTAAATTCACTAAAACATTTTTTGACTTCTGGGATGTACCTTGATGCGTTGATATAATTTGGAAGAAGCATATATCTCACAGAAAAACAAAGGGAAAAGTGATTTAAAACTAAAGTGATCTGGTGTGGACTGATTTATGTGGATTTTGTGGATGCACAGTATTCACATCTTCATAAAATGTTAGATTGCTTTTCAAGTTCAGCGAGTTTCTGATTTAAAACCTGCTTCCTTTCTGAAGTAACAGATAACCCTCCAGCCTAGGAATTTTTATTTGTCAGTAAATGACAATAGTTTGCATGTTCTAGATATTTGTACTATAAGGATGTGTTGATGTATGGTTTATCTGTTTTACTTGTAACAGAAGACACCTGGAATTTTTTATTTAAAGGCAAAATAGATTTGATTGATATTTTCTTTGAATAAGAAACTACAACCAGAAAAATATCAATCATTTTACCGTACATATGTGATATGTATTTGACTTTTGTAGTTGAAGTGATCAAAACTGTGCAAAGGCAAGGGAAATAACTCTAATTTTCATCTGGAAAAGTGGTTAAGGGAGATAAGTCAATTTGTAAAATAAAAGGAAGTAACTTTCATTTTAGAGAAGGTTGAGATATAATACTGACTGAATTGGACATTTGATTGTAAGTTGATTTTCATGTCACACTAAATGAAATAATTCAAACATGGTACTACTAGTCTGAAATCTCATTAGTAGTTTATTAAATTTGTCAGTATAATTTGACAGCTGCCAGTCAGTCATAAATTGTGGTTAATTATATATATATACATGTTGTGGGAAAAAAAGTATAAAATTGAAGTGTGAAGTCATGTAAAGGGAACTGAACATATAAAAATAAAACATGATTTTAAATTTGTATTACAATAACTTATAGAAGCATTTTAATACACTTCTAGCAGACATCAATTGAACATTTAATTCTGTCATTTCACCATTCTGGGAAAAGTGGAGAAATTTAAGAAAATTGTGGTTTATAACTTTTTGGTTAAGTAGAAGTAATTAATGAAGTATCTGTTAGTTTAAGAAATAGATATACTTATGATATCTTGAGACACTTCATGGTATATCTTTGATAAGATGATTGGTCCACATTAAGTATGTTAAAAGGAAGAATAATGTTTCTTTCTTGTGATTAATTTATGGTTTAATCTTGAAGAAGTGTATACTGTAAAGAATTTTGACATCCTTCAAAGTATATTATAACATGCATAAGAACAATTTTGAGTGATCAGAATTTAAAAGCATGTCTTTCTATTAACCAACCTTTTTGTCACCATCAGACATGTTAGTTAACAAAGTCTAGGATTTGTTACTCTGAAGAAACCTCTCACAAAAGGATACAGGACGTACTGAACGATCTATCGAACTATAAAGACTGTGATAAAAGTGAGGAAAAAGGACTACTATCGATCATATCCCTGGACTGTAAAAACCTCACAAAAAAGGATACAGGATGTGTAAAATTCTGTCAAACTTAAGACCGACCGTGATATAAAGGAACAAAAGGGACTAAGTGCAATCAATCAAATCTGCCGTACTTATAATCCAGCATTAATTACCGTTGTATGTCTAGAAGTCTTGTGTTATACACCTTTCCATAGTAAATTTTATATCTTACATGTTGTAAACAAGAAATATGACGACAAGACATGTTATTGTCATGGTTAAAGACAAAAATAGGTAATTTATAAACGTGAGGAATGTGGTAGTGTGTACCTGGTGTACTTCTCAATTTAGCGGGAAAAGTTTTAGTTTTGTGATAAGAAGCTGTGGTACATTTTAAGATATTTACTTGTATGTATCGGCTTGAAAGTGTCAATTACTTGATTGTTTGGTAATCTATGAATTAGGTTTTTACACCTTAATGGTTTTGTAAGTGTCCATTTTACTACATGTATAGAGCAATTGGAGTGGTTTTGACAGTTTTGAAATAATAAAATTTACAATTTGAACAAATTGGAAGTGAAGTTAAATATGTACATACAGGAAATTGTCATTGACTGAGATAGATTGAGTTGTTTAACAACTGAAATATTTAAATGTGATACGCATTTGTATTTTTGAATGAAAAAAAATGCAACTATTTTTGGAAAACGTGATAAACACTATTGATATTTTAGTAGTTCACAGGAAATTGGCGGGCAGTTGAATAAAATCTACCGAGCAAAAAGGAACTATTGAAAGGCTCTTAGTTTTAAACTGGACGAAATACGAACCATTTTGAAACATAATGCTTAAAACACATTAACAGACAAATATAGATGTGACTGAAGGAGAACAGACTATATATGGGACCACCAGTTCATTGTATTTTGAAAGACTTGTCTTTTTTATGTAGAATAATTGATCGGTAATCGATTAAAATTTGGAAGGACATTCCTCAGCAGAACTTTGTGTCGACTATTTGACTCTGTCTTCATTACTTGTACAAGGATATAACTGAGTCCATTACCTGACTTAACATTTGGACATTTGACACTGCAGAACTTTGTGAAGACTATATGACTCTGTCTACATAACTTGTAATACTGATTCATAACCAATTCAAATATGGATTTTGAGGCATTGTAGAAGTTTGTTTGAAGACTATTTTAGTAGACAAACAACTAAGCTTTTTATAACTGATTAAGTGACCTGAGGCCCTTGTTATGATGAATGAATGATGAAAACAAAAACATGATTGAAGAACCAGTGATCATTTAGAAGTTCTGCTTGCCATTCGAAAGGTACATGCTTATATCTTTTGAATTACATTGCCATTGTTTTGAATAGAACTGTAATCTTTCTCTGAATGAAGCTGAGAAAACAATTGGTTTATTCTGTATGAACGTATCAACTCTGAGTTTAGGATAAAGGTATTTCACATGGTCGAATTCCCCAGAAGTTTTGTTTGAAGTGGTAACAGTTTATGACAGTAATTTATTGGATGTTAGAAGCGTTAGTGCTTCTGTTAGAATAAAGAAATGTGCAAAAAATGTAATCAACTGGACAGACCTATCATCATTTAGTGCTTTACTAAGTTACTTTCATTAGCTTCAAGTAGAAAGTGTAGTATTTGTTCTTAGTAAATCTGTTACAGAAAGGAGAGAAGGAATAAAAGAAAAAGAAAAGCCAAGGAAGAAGGGTTTGAACATTATTTTGTATTAGATTAGAAAGGAGAAGTTGAATTCAAAAAGAAAAATTGTTATAGAGTTTAAAAATTGATGACTGTCTGCCTACCCTAGGCAAGAACCAAATGTAGATTTTGTCAAGTTGCTTACTTAGTGATGTACATGGCATTTATAGTTTTATAAGCTTCACAACTGGGAATAGTTTGTATTTGGTTGTATGATAATACAACAACAAAAAACAGTTACGAAATTGCTAAAGGAATCTTTAAGCAAATTTGAATCAAGCAATTATTAGCAAAAAAATGGATCTTTTAATTGAAGTCAGGATGTGAGAATAAATGAAAGTGCTTTTGGATCTGAAACTAACTGAAATTTAAGAAATTGCAGAAAATTTTTGTAATTGAAATAACATGATTGGTTGTCATATTGAGTTACCAGTGATTGACAATCTTCAAGATAAAATTGTGCAAAAAATGTAAAATTGATAGATTGATGAAATTTCAAGGTACTTATATACATTTATACAGCTACCATCATTAAAAAAGTTTGTGTGAAAAATTAATATTTTGATAAGGTTAAAAAAAAAACGGACAAATTGGAAATTGACAGTTTGCAAAAGTGATTACTGGAGAAAATTTGAAGCAAAAATTATGACCTTGTAAGAAACTTTCATCTTTGATGTCAATTAGAATTGTATATAAATCATTACCTAGGGATATATGGGTTTCAAATGAGATAAAAACATAGATAGGGAGATAAACTAATTATGACACACTGATTATATTCTGATTGATGTATTTTGTGTGAAATTTATAGCATTTTTGATTCAGCATTGTGATATGTTGACATTGATATCCTTATCTCTTGATTAATCAGTGATGTTTTAATTAATATTGCTTTATGGATTGTGATTAATCATTGATTTATGTTTGATATTGCTGTATGGATTGATTAATCAGTGATTGAATATAAGTATTAATCGTAAATATTTCAATTGGTGATTTGCATTGGATATTGCTGTATGGATTGATTAATCAGTGATTTCTTTACACCTGTGATCAGTGATTGAATATTAGTATTAATCGTAAATATTTCAATTGGTGATTTGCATTGGATATTGCTGTATGGATTGATTAATCAGCGATTTCTTTCCATCTGTGATCAGTGAATGAATATTAGTATTAATCGTAAATATTTCAATTGGTGATTTGCATTGGATATTGCTGTATGGATTGATTAATCAGCGATTTCTTTCCATCTGTGATCAGTGATTGAATATTAGTATTAATCGTAAATATTTCAATTGGTGATTTGCATTGGATATTGCTGTATGGATTGATTAATCAGTGATTTCTTTACACCTGTGATCAGTGATTGAATATTAGTATTAATCGTAAATATTTCAATTGGTGATTTGTATTGGATATTGCTGTATAGATTGATTAATCAGTGATTTCTCTACAACAGTGATTGAATATTTTTTATGAATAGATTTTGAATCAATCAACTGTGATTGATTAATGATTGTATCAGTGATTATATATCTTTCTGATACTGGTAAATGATATTGACAAGAATATGTCTTGTTTTTTTATTTTTTTGGTAATTGAAATATTTGAATAGTTTGTGACGGTATATGTATATAATATTGACAAAAATAAGTTTTGCATCTTTTTCTTGTTTTGGTAGTTTGTGAGGTATATGTTAAATTTGATAAAATTCCTTTGCAGATGATTGCTATGTCTTGCTGACTCTTTGCTTATCATTGATTTTAATGATCAATCATTGATTCAAGTGATTACAAGTTTTAACACATAATGAGATAGATAGACTGGAGACTAAATTGAGAAAATTTGAGTGCAGCTAATTTTCACTTGAAAGAAATATTTAAACATTGTATCTTAAGAAAATTGAAGCAAAAATTACTTTTCAAGCACTGAAATACTTGACTATTTTGAATCATTTAAGTGAAAGAGAATATGAGCGCCAACACATGCAAAATATAATTTAGATATATAGTGTTACAGGAATTTGAAGGATTTACTTATTTAAGCCTTTACTGAGATAGACAGACTATAATTAATGAACAATCGCTTTGGTTATCTCAGTATAATTAACTGTGCATTCAATCACTAATTTAATCAATAGATTAACGTTAAAAAGTAAACCTTTGAAGAGCTGGTGCGACTTCTGTTTACATTGAGAGAGAAAAACGTGCTTCCTTCTAGCTTTAACAATTGGAGGCTTTCCTTTGACTATTCTTGGCATTTGTTAAGTTCATCATCTGATAGATAAGTGTAATTTCCCTCTCGTTAACTGCAAAACTCTAAAATTGAACATCTGCCAGCTTTCATTTATATTCTTCTGTCAAGTATTTTACCTTAAAATATAATCAGGCAGAAAAAATCATCGATATCCAGTGTGAAAAAATATCTCAGTTTGATCAGTTTACCTGTAATTGTTGTGCAGTGCAGGTATTTTGAGATGGCACCCTTCTTTCTTGGACTGACGTCTGCTGTAATGTGATCAAAGTCACATGAGTGTTTTATTTCATACAAATATGGCTGCTTTCCAGAAAATAATGTTCTGAGGGGGATTTCTGTTATGTAACTAATTGATGTTGCTGTAACCATGCTGAAATTTGTATCAACGAAACCGCCAAAGGGAGGCCAGCCAAGTCAAGGAAACACTGATGAGAAACCAAGGAAAAAGAAGGGTTCTTTTCGTTGGAAGATTTTCTCAAAACGAGAAAATCCCCAAACTTTCGAAAACCATGATAAGAGTGACGAGTTGGACACAAGAAGGGATAAGGATTGTGAAAGAAACATGGATGAGTATTTAACCAACCAAGCGGACTATGACAATTATGACTCTTCTCAAATGAAAGATTCGTCACAAAAGGGAGTAAACGGAAAAGTTGCCTATACAAGGTCATGGTCAGCAGGATCAGATTCTAGTGTTGATTCATATAGAGGATCACAATCAAGAAAACACATCTATGACCCTTACAAAGGTCAAAGTCATCCACTTCGTCATGTGACTTGGAGTCCAGATGTAACTGATGGAAGTGAACATGGATTTTCTTTTGACACTAGCAACATAATGGGCAATGTTACTAGGCAACATGAGAAAGACAATATTGTGGGCAATGTTTCTAGGCAACATGAGAAAGACAATATTGTGGGCAATGATTCTATGCAACATGGGAATATTGTGGGCAATGATTCTGGGCAACATGAGGATTATTACTGGGACAATTTAGAACAGTTTAATAGCTCACAACCATTTAAATTATTTCATCAAGGCACTTGTGCTCTAGATGAAAATGGACCATTTTACCAAACAATTAACAAGAAAACACCACCTGTTAATGTTTCCTCTGGACAATCTCATCCAACATGTTCAAGGAGATTAGAATTTTATCCAAGGGACCAGTTTATACATCATGTTGGGAAACCAATTCTGAATAGAAAATATGAAATGTACCCGAGCGTAACATTGCCACATAGAACTAAAAGTTCAACAGCAACTGCTGCAGCAGCTAATTCATATGCCACTGTCGGACCAAGGACTTTAAAACGGAATTACAACATACCATACAGTGTTCCTGTTTCATCTACAAAATCATCACAACAATCTATTCCTATGAATGTGTCACATGACAAGCCAAAGCTGCCTCCACTTAATATTCCAATACATAGAAATTTAATGAGGAATTACAGTGTACCTTATTGTGTATCGTCAGAACCGATTTCTTCTCCGAGGGAAATTTCTGTCAATTCAAAGTTAATTTTTTCTCCATCAATTTATAGTACACCAAAACAAAGGAAAGAATATGGCTCAGATAGAACTGTGAAATCTTGGGACCAAAAACCTGCAATTTCCACAGACTACGATCGTTTATTGACTACAGAAGACTATTTCAAAAGACCCAGTTCAGAGGGACCATCTCTAAAAATTTCAAAACCATTCTCAGACCCTCTTTACAAGGAGGATAAATACTTAGATTTTATACAGAACATAAGAAAAAGATATCCCCAGCAGGGTACTAATGAATTACAAAGTAATACAGCAAAACCTACCATGATAGTTGACAGTTCTCTGCAGGGAACCAGTCAACCTAATGGTACTACAAGAGTTTCTGACAAATTTGAAGAAAGGAAATATGGAAGGCGTTCTAATGGTTATGAAGATGTGACAGAAATGTATTTTCCACATGTAAGTTAACTGATATCATATGATTTGCATGATACTTGTACCCTATCCCCCTAAAATTCCACAGATTTAAATGTATACAACGTCTTTATTTCAGATGAGGTTTTGGTCTGGTAGTGTATTATTCATTTATTTCAGATGAGGTTTTGGTCTGGTAGTGTATTATTTAAAATTTTCAAAGTTCAAGTTGATAATTCAGGCATATATCTTATCCTCAAAATTAGAATGTAATTTTATACATGCACATTATAAATATTCCCCACATTTTGAGTTTGAGAAATTATCAATATATAAACATTTTTGGAAAAGACAGAAAGTGTGACATTGATTAAGTTTTTTGGGTATATTGATAACTTTTAAAGTTATAATTCAATTTAGAAAAAAATATCTTCTCTAGATTAAAAACAAAAGAAGCCATTTTAAAAATTGAAGTTATCAGCTTTACGTAAACTAGTAAAGTTTAAATGATCTGCATTGAATGACTATTTTAAGTTAATGATCTGGTTGCTACTGATATTTCAAAAGTACAGCAAACCATCTTTTATCTAAATAAAAAGAATGGTTTTGGTAAAAGCTTACTAAACTTAAATAGTGTACTTATTTTAAAATATGTTATATCCTTAATTTCTAGAAGTACTGTCTCGTGGGCCATGATTTTTAAGTAGTAACTTTTAGTTTAGAGGTAACAGCTGATATTTTCAGGAGTATCAAGTTGGAAGAAAAGTCCTACATGTATAACTTTTCCCAAACAGTTTGTAGAAATATTACATAATTACTAATGACTGATGTTTTTCAATGTAGATGAATGGTTAAATTATTGTACATCTCATTTTTTGACTAATTTTTTTTTTCTGATCTTAACAAATTCTGAAAAATCTATTTTGTTAATGATCAATTATTGCCTTGGGCTAATTTATGTAAGAAAACTGAACATGGAATTCTGTTTGGCAATGAAAGACATAGGATATTTTTAGAATTGTCCAGGTTTCCAATGGTTGTATATTCCACTTGATTTATAATTAAGCTAGAGGCTACAGAACCCCAGTAGCTTACTAAGTCTCTAGCTGTTTGAAGTCAGGCAAAAGATACAGTTTCTGTATTCTAGGGGCCTCTGGTTTGGATAGGGGAACATGTGGTTTTAAGTCAAGCGAGAGATACAGTTTCTGTATTATAGAACCCGAGGAGCCTCCTAGTTAGGTTAAGGGAACATGCTTGAAGAGCCATAAAAATGTGCAGTAACTATAGATTTATAACATATAATTATTTTATGTAATATAACTTTATTATGTAGGTTGCATGATGCATCTGGAAAACACATCTAGTTTAGGAAAATTAATATGAAAATGACTTAACCACAGTAATAAAACACATTATAAACCTTGAGGTTAACCTAACACAACATGTACACAAGTGTATTAAACATGTCTTAATATGAAAACAGCAAAGTATATTGCTGTTTGGTAAAGTCATTTGACCAATGCTTACCCTTAAGGATCACATGAGATCACCAATAGTGTTTGGTGGGGGTTCTTGTTGTTTTGTCTGTAGTTTTCTATAGAGTACTGTAAATTCAGAAATTATTGCGATGTTTTTATTATTGCGAAAAAATAATCGCAATAATTTTAACTCGCATTTTGAAATTTTTTATATGAATTAAACAGGATTTTTCTCAATATCGCAAAAATTAAAATCGCATTTTAGTCTAAAATGTCAAAATCGCTGACAAAATCGCAATAATAAATGTACGCAATAATTTCTGAATTTACAGTATTTTGTGGACTTTGTTACCATGGTGTTGTCAGTTTCTCGTAGACTTATGAATTATGAATTCCAGCTTCCTCTAACTTTAAATGGCCCAAACAACAGTTAAGAGTGCTTTAAGTGGCTTTAATTAAACACCATCAATCAATCAACCAGTAACTTGAAGATACTTTTGTTAAGTATGGGGACTTTACATCATGGTACATGGTTAGCAATTCAACAACAAAATCAAGAAGACATAAACAGTTCAACATACCGTCTTCAAGTAAAGACAATGTCAAGGTCTAAATGACCCCTTCTAATTGATTGTTGTTGTTTGTTTGATGTCCAGTTGACCACTTCTGTGTTTATTTCTTCCCTGTTGTCACTAGGGGTTCCAATAAGTCCGTCTCTTTTTTAGTTGATGAAGGTTAATTTCAATTGATTGATTGGATGAAAAAAAAAGGGGGGTGGGGGGTTCAATTTGCAACAGCATAGTGTATTGCACAAAAAAAAAGGGGGGGGGGGCAATTCGCAACAGCATAGTGTATTGCACAAAAGCAAAAAAATTGAATAAATTCAAATCATATAACCAATTCTAAGTTCTTTGACTACAGTTATTCTGTGTCAGAAACCTATTATGTGTCAAATATTTAATTTCAATCCAAATTCAGACCTGTATCAAGCACAAATATTGTGTCCATTTTTGACTCAACTGTTCAGGGTTGGACCTCTGCGGTCGTATCCAGCTGCGCTTGGCTAAACAATTTATTGTATTTTCTTCTCCCATTTACAATACCTCTTTTTAGAATTGGTTTAAAGTTAAGCCTGACACCCCCAAAGTTGATCTATCAATTAACTTTCAAAAATGAGGTATCAAAATAGATGTGTTTATTTCATCCTTGTGGTTTACACATAATCAGTTTGCCCAATCAACGAGATAAGTTATTTACAAACCAGGGTGCTTTATCTTTGATAAGTTACATAAAATAAAGATAAACATTTTGATTGTTCCAAATGTATGCCAAATTTTGAGCATCTTGACATTCTGTGGAAGACATTTATCAAATTTTATGTTTTAGTTACCTTTTTACACTCATAGCATTAAGGTATAAAAAAAAAAAATGAATATGTAGTTTTGATCTGTGAAGTCTTTGGGAAGGAAGAGAAACGTGGACAATTTTTCCACAACTTTTTTTGTGTTTCTGTATTTTGGTGAAATTTTCTTCACTTCTTTAAATTGCTAATATAAGAATAGGAAGATGTGGTATGATTGCCAATGAGACAACTCTCCACATAGACCAAATATAAACACAAACATTAACAACAATGAGTAAAACCCATACTGCATAGTAAGTTACCTTTTAGAAAATCTTGCCACTTATTAACTAGTACTGCATTACAATTTTCACTGAAGAATATGTTTTACAGAAATTTGATTTAACTCTAAAGAAATTCAATCCTTCACTTTAAAAAATAATGCTAAAATAAATGATCTTTCAAAAATTTGTGACAATAAAATTGATACTTGGGAATATTACAGATCCATTGTTCTAAGAGATCCATTGTTCCAAGATAAAATGTATTCCAATCATATGCAACTGTTCTAATGCCATAAAATATCAAAGACAATACAAGGAATATTCAGTATATATTGACTCAACTCCACCAATAAAAACTGACCACTGTGAAATAGCACAATAGTGCTGAAAGTGGCATTAAACACCAATCAATCAATATATTGACTATCAAGACTCAAATTTTTTTTATATAAAAAAAATGACCAGAAAAAACACTCTTTAGAATTGCTAATTTGAAAAGGCCATTGGAAAAAGCACATTCACATAACTTAGACAATATAAATTGAGGTCTCAAGACTACTGTGCTGGGATCCAAAAATTTTGAAATGGGAATTTTTTCTTGATATAAAAAATAATTGTGAATAACACTTCAGATAATAATATTTCTACATATTCAAACTTACAAATGTTATCGGTTTTCTTTTAATGAATGAGATAGGAGTGTCACATTTCCATGTTTACATAATAGTGCTTGTTTTGAAAAAATAAAAATGCCATTAAAACATCAATCTTGGATTACAATTGATAAAAATAGGATTTTAATAAAACTGTTTGTAGTCATCTTAAATACTGAAAAACACAGGAAGTCGTGCATATAGCAGTCAGAAATAAATGATATGTTGAAATCCGATCATATTATCTAAAAAAATTGTGTTATATAATGTTTGACTCAGAGCAAGTCAACACCTTCTATTCATCAATAATGTTAGTAAAAAAATAGTTCTCAATGTTGTAATCTTCATGTAAACATTTCTAATATTTATTTCTGAATTGAATCTAGTAACCCTTTCATAAATAAGAAAAAAAGTAATGTCACTGATAACATAACATGGAAAAATTGGTAAAAAAAAATGCTACTTTTTTCACCAAAATTTTTTACAAAAAATAACTGGTAACAAATGAACATTTCAATAGAACATACAAGAATTGATAAAGTCATAAGATTTTTTGTGAACACAGCAGCTGTCACATAGACATTAATTAAAACTATTTTGCCAAAAAGTATACATGGTGATGTAAGAAATAAAAATGTAATTGTACAAAAAGTCACATATTTTTTCTTGCTCTTGGGTAACAAATTGGTTAATTATCTTCATTTGACATTTTTGAAACAGTGAGTCAAACTTTTATCATACATGTTTTCTTTCCATGAAAATGATATACCGGGTAGGTCATGGAATACCTACAAATAGTTTATCTTAAAGTATTTGAAATATAATCTGTTAATTACATTGCCCTTTCTGCACTTAGGCATTGTTTTCCCTATTAGATTTCTGATTACAAAGAAAAGTACATTATTTTGCATCTTAATTGATAATGATTTACATGTTAATTGGTAGTTTTCTTAGATTATGTAAGTCTATAGCTGTCACTTGTAGTTTTGGGTATTGAATGAAGATAACAAGTTTTTTGGCCCTGACTTAGTATGGTGTATTCCACATTCTTCAAAGCTGGAGAAATAAAAATTGCACTGGATGTGAAAATAAAAAGTGGTGGTCACATTTCTTGGTATAAGGATCCTGGGTGAACTGGGCCCCCCCTTTTGTGGGAAAAATTTGGTTAATTTATAATATAGGGAATCACTGAAGCATGACTGGAGCGGGCCCCCCTTATGAAAAGTTCTGGATCCGCCACTGTTTTAACCCATATCTGTAGTCTCACTCTGAAAAACAGAGTTCTCAT